TAAAAAAAAAAAAAAAAATAGAAAAAAAAAAAACCCCCCCCCCCGCTAAAATATGTGCCCCCTTTTCCCCCACAATCAAATATTTTAACTTAACTACTTTCAGACTTTTTCATCAATTTTGGGTGTGACAAATGTTAGTTATGCTTGGTGTGAAACGACATACTATTGTTGGACAGATGTTGCACTCGTTTTTGCGAGGAGTGAAATTGTTCACCAGTGAGTGGAGCTAGAGTCTTTGGAAGACCACCAGTACTTGCTATTTTGAGTTCTCTAGGTCCCTGTATAGAAATAAAAATGTGAATCAGACACCTTGTTGCAGCGGAACAAAACCAAAACAACAAGGTAGGTTTTGGACCAGTCTTGCAATTATTCATCATGCTTGGTCACGCACGGCACGTTTGACAGAAGCAAGCGGAGCTTGTCAGAAATGTTCAGCCAAACCATCAAAAAAAATGACAAGTTCAGATGCGGGTGTGGGTGCAAGTTTCCAATGTTGAGTGCAAGGAAATGAAGCCAGCAAAAATTGTATTTAGCTAATTATCAGACATGCTGTTATGACCATATGTAAAGTTTGTAGGTATAAAATATGACGAGTTTTGATAGTAACTCGAGTTAGATGAATGAAAGGGAGAGAATGGTGGCATTGCATGATGATCAGTGAGAAATGCAGGACCTGGGAGATACAACATTTGACTGGGAGGCTCAGGGGATGATGCATAGATATGGCTGTGATGATACAAACTTGGCCCCGCTTGAGAGGGGTTGACATGCAAGGATAAGTTGTCAGATAGTAGTGAGGAGGTGGAGGGGGGCGGAGGGGGAGTAATGCCTTGGGGCCCATTGGGGGCCAGTGCTTGTCTCCGTGTACGAGCCCCAAATAAGCCTGAAAAGCGGCTGTTAGTCTCCAGGTCAGGATTTTCTTGAAAATGTGTCTTGATGCAATCCAAGACCTCCTGCTTCTTGCCATCAGCACTCAGATTAAGCGCTGTGGCAATGAGCTGGAGGTCCAGCTTTGCCTTGCCACTGAGCGCTCCGTTGAAAACCTCAGTCCCATCCAGCAAGCTCATTTGCACCTGGTGCTCAGCCGCCTTTGCATCCTTCTTTGCCTTTGCTTCTGCTGCTTTCCATTCCTTTTCCTTGCAAGCCTCCTCCTCAGCAATATGCCTGGCACGCGACTCTGCGCTTGTCAAGAGCTCACCATGCACCTGTAACCCCTTCCTTCGTTTCCCCCAGCCCTTCACCAAATTTTAACCTATCCTTCACATGCTCAAACTTGTGCATCATAAAGATACTATGCCCCTGCATAGTGTCCCGTTCCCATCTCGCCTCATCACGCTCTACTTGAAGCTTGTGGATTGTTGCAACGAGGTTCCTCTTTGACTTTTCCATGAGCAGGGACGTGGGGTGCAGCTTGACTAACATGGGCCCTGGAGTACTTGCACGTGAACCAGACCCCGGGGTGCTTGCACGTGAACTGGAACGAGAGGAGGGGAAAGATGTGCTAGTGCTGCGCCATGAGGGCGCTCGTGACCGAGTAGGTGCAATTGAACGCTCCTCTACAGGCAGAGCGCCTCGGCTTGCATGGAGCCAGGTCCTTACATCTGTTGAGGAGTTGTTGGTGCTGGTGCTGGTGTCAGTGCTCCCTCCACTGGCAATATTAGTGTCCCTGCTGCCCACATTGACGTTGCTGTCCTCACCCTCATCCTCGCTGACACTGGAGTCTGACCCATCATCAGAATCCCCTGCTCCCTCAGAACTTACATCTGAGTCTGGGCTCAGAGCTGCATCATTGGGAGCATAATCTGGGTCATCCGATGAGGCACCATCCATCCAGCCATCAGGGAAAGTATCCGGGTATGACAGTGGGGCATAGTTGGCTGTCGAAGTTGAAACACTCGGTGCATAGTCAGCCGCAGTGAATAAACCAGGATTGAGGGGACAGAGTGCACTTTTGCGCCATGCTTGTAAAATGGTATTAGTTACAAATACTCCTTTGTGTGCCTCCCAGTATTCTTTGACAACATGGTGTCGACAAATTCCTTCGCCTGTCCTTGCCATGTACAACTCGCAGTGCTTGTACCAAGCCTTTTACATGGGACCAAATACACCAACATCGAGAGGTTGGAGGCGGTGGGTGGTGTGCGGAGGAAGACAAAGCAGGTGGATTTGATTCTCCACCGTGAGCTCAATCATGTTCACAGTCATGTGAGACCCATGGCCGTCGCAGATGAGGAGGATGGGCTTGCCAGTTTGGTTTTGAGCGCGTGTCTGTGGAATAAATGTTTTTCGAAACCACTCAGTGCAAAGGAAGTCGTTACTCCATCCATTTTCTGATGTAGTTAAGCTTGAAATTTGTTAGTGGAAGATCAAATATAAAAATTGACAAACTCACAAAATGTTGGGGTGAACATCGCATGATTCTGGATCAACTGTCATTCCTGCAAAGATAAATTTAGGGGGGATGCTGCTACTGACTGCAGAAATACATTCTATTACTGTTACAAGCTCCAGGGTACCGCCATGGATCTTGTAGTTTTGTCGGCCATCACGAGAGAAGAAAAAATGGTGGCCATTTGACTTTCGACCGCCTCCAAGCTGGATCCCCTTTTCATCCATATTATACACGTTCTCCCATGGAATCTCATTCTCCTTCAAGACCTTGTCAAGCTTCTCAAAAAAATCCTGGACAATGTTGCGGTTGAAGGCTTAAGCCCGCATGGGATCAATAGTTGAAGGGCGACGTGAGGCAATCTGATCCTCGTGTTTCTTGAGGAAACGTCGAACCCATTTCTCTAAAGGATACTTGGCACACATGTCGTAGACATATGGTGATATTGTTTGCTTGCAGAGGGGGCGTCCAGTATTACCTAAAAATGTAATCCACTCCAGTAACACTTCATCTTGTGCAGGATTCAGATGTCGGCGTTGGACATGAGCCTTATTGAACGGAACAGACTTCCCCTTGAACCTCCTGAGGGCCGTGTAGTAGTGCTTCAAGATGCCCGAGTCCCGACAGGCTGCCTTGAGGTTTTTGGCAATCCCATTGTTTGTAACAACCAAGAGTGAATTACTCTGGCGCACTCAGAACACACTATAGAGGATAATGGAAGATGGGGAGTGGGTACCCCTGGGGCTGCAGTGAGTTAGTTGGTATACAACAGGAGGACTCGCTGAGGAGTCTCCTGGATCTATTGGGGTATATATACTACTACAGGTTTGTTTGTACATGTGTACTATACAGTTGATGGAGGCAGTGGCTGATGATGTCATAGGGCCTAGCCCGTATGGCCAGCTCCACTGCGTGAGAGAGTTGAGTCTAAAATAAGAGAAAGGCAATGCGGCGCAAGAAAGGGGAAATGCCGCGTGGCACCATGTGTGAAAGCTAAAGTATAAAGTTAAAGCGGAGAATGAAAGGAAGGGAAATGTCCGGAAATTGTGTTATCGTAACATTGTTTGTTGCCTCACATGCAGCTTGTATGCGTTTCTCGAGGTCTTCCTCAATGTTGCGCTGTTGGCGAGAAGGTGAGTGACAGTGGGAAGGCAAGGCCCGGTGAAGTTGCCGTTTGTTTCAAATGGGGGGCATTGGCGGCAAGATAATTGACGACGGTGAGCCTGAGAGGAGTGGGCTTGATGAGAGACCACCAAACAATCATTGTGTGTGACACCGAGCCTGCCAAAGCGGAGCTTCAATGATTATCTTGATGTGTGATTACCTGTTTGGGTCTTGAAGTCACGATTTCTTCTTGTTCCTCCATCTGCAGGTGCCTCAAGGCTTTGATCAACTCGGTAAGCACATGGCATTGTAGGGGTTTACCTGTTGATGTTTTTGAGAAACTTTTGTGACTTTCGCAGCACACGATCTGCCCCGATTTAGCCCTCTTTACCTCAAATTTTGCACTTTTGGAGGTCAAGACCATAGTGTCAGGTCTGTTGTTATTGCTACAGGTAAGATATTCACAAAATTCTTTTACATTATGGTTTGTTACATTCTATTCTACCTCTGACAAATTTTTAGGGGGTTGTACAACGATTATTGAGCCTGTAGAGGCCCAAGAGCATAAAGGGTCCGGATTGCAACATTTGTCCAACGATAGTAATGGTGGTACAGTTGTAGACCGAATTTAGGGGGAGAAAAACGCCAGTAAGATAGCATCAACATCACGTGATTTAAGCCGGGCCGGAGAGCTCTGCAAAAACAGGCGGGACACTTTTCCTCAGCCATACCTGTCCCAACCAATTCTGGGCCAGGAATGGTGATGATGAAGATGACTTGCATGGAAATGCGTTTTCGTGTTCTGTCTGTTTTTCTGATGTTGCGTACCCCTCGGTCATGAGCCATATATCATCTCACACACCACTAGGATAAATCTCTCTCGGAATAGAGGGCAATTAGGAGACTGGGAGTTGGTCCGTCTGAAATTCTGGGTCTGTCATGTTTTACTGATGCGGCGGCGCTGGCAGCATTCTGATACCCTCATCCTGTCTGAAATTGACTGATGAGCGCTGAGCGCTGAGTGGTTACCATCGGTAGCTGGCAGCTCCCGTCAAAACTAGGCATCTTATTATTATACCGCAATCCAGAATTCCAGTGCCGTTCTTAGTACGCAGGAACAGCTCCACCATCATTGACCCAGAAGTTGGGCTTCATTGTTGCAATCTGCCATACAGGGCTTCCTCAATAAGTGTGTGAAGATCTCAGAGTACGGACCCTGCAGCTACAACGCACGCCGGATGCAAGAGTATTCATCATCAGAACAGAGTAATACTTCTCTCGTTCGCCATCATTCAAGTTCAAATTTCGCTGATGAGCCGTTGGAACACTCGCAATCGACTGACCTTATTAGATATACTATATCTTAGTCATTCTGGCTGTAGATGGGCGCCAATTGACTTTCAAGGTATCCGTCGCGATGTCATATAGGTGCCGTTCTAGAGTATTCGAGATTTTGACTCTGACTGCTTTAAGCCGTAGTCTCAAGAAAAATGGAGACGAAAACGGAGACGAAACTTTTATTAAAGCCCAGATAATTTGAATCATGACAGCAATCGATCACTGATTTTTGTAAAGGAAACTCTTACTGCGCCGAAGATGCCCATATTGTACTGATGCTGATGCTGCACTGCGATCTCATCATCAAGGACAAATCATGAATGATCCGAAATCCCCTTCATGTTAGTTATCAACTCTCCCGGGGTGAAAAGGTATAAAGACCACTCAGATGAATCATGCATCCAGTCATCGTCTCTGAAATAACCAGGCTAATGGATTCCACACCGATTACGCCGAAGCCTATTGCTGTGGTAAAGTTCCGTTTTTAACTATCTTGTCAATATATCTAACACGATACGTTTGAGCAGGTTGGAATTTCGGCTTGCTTGCCAGGAGGGCCTCAAAATGCCCAAAATCTTGATTACCAGAATTTCTTTGACTTCCTAATGGAGCGTGGCCAAGCATATGAAAAAATTCCCTCCGAAAGGTTCAATGTTGACGCGTAAGTTCATGCATTGTTGTTAATCTTTATTAAAATAAGATTGACATTCTTCGAAGCGTCCATGGGCCTGGTGTTGGCGAAGTTATCACCGAAAAGGGGGCATTTCTGAAAGACCTTGATAATTTTGACTATATAGAGTTTGGAATAAGCAAGAAAGACGCAAGGCTGATGAACATTAGCGCCAGAAAATTGATTGAACTCACATTTCTTGCACTCTTGGATTCAGGTATTGATTACCGTGGTAAAAACGTGGGTTCATATATGGCTGGAGTCGCCCACGACTTATGGATGTTATCTGGCGAGGTCTGTGTTTTTTTCCCCGTGCGATTCAGTTAGTAGGATTGATTTTTTTTTTTCGCGATGACTGCAGGAGGAAGCGGAAGCACGAGGCTCGCTATCGTATTCCCCATCTATGATTGCCAACCGCGTGTCGTACCACTTAGACCTACGCGGGCCGTCTATTCCTATTGACACTGCGTGTAGTTCTAGCCTCTCGGCATTACATCTCGCAGTCCAGGGGTTGAGAAATGGTGAATGTGAAGCTGCCGTAGTCGGAGGTTGCCAAGTAAACTATAGGTGAGTACTATAGCACGATTACAGTACAGGTACTCAGAGTGTGGTGTGTTTATATAGATTCATTGATTGGCTTGCTTACAGCCAAGGTGGCATACTCTCCCCCGACGGCATATGCAAACCATTTGATGCTTCAGCGGATGGGTGAATTTCTTTCCATTTATCATCGCATAATCTAAATCGACTTGGGCAGATTTTCTCGCGGTGAAGGAGCCGTTGTTGTTGTTCTGAAACCACTTGATGTTGCTTTACGACAGCACGACAACGTGTATGCAACAGTGAGTTTACCTGTGAATCTTATGAGATCACAAAATAACATTGTCTTCGCAGATATTGGGAACAGGTATCAATTCTTCTGGATCTATGGCTCCTGCCAACTCTCCTGTTGCAGTGGCACAGAGAGATGCAATGCAAAGAGCATTTAATCAAGCGAAGAGGAAACCGCAGGAAGTTGATTTTGTAGAATTACATGCGACAGGTAAGTAACAGAGCAGTCACAGCTCACATTGCTTTGCTGTATCTTAATAGCAATCTTGTAGGTACTGCATCAGGGGATCCCACAGAAGCCAATTGGGTAGGCGAATCATTCAAACGAGGTCACAAAACCCTCATCGGGAGTGTAAAAGGAAATATTGGGTTTGTATAGAATTTTGAGTCTCACGTTGACTACTGAGATCAGCTCCTCAACTTAGGCATCTAGAAATTGCGGCATTCTTAGCATCGTTGTGTAAAGTCTGCGCCATGTTCAAGTCTGGAATGATACCACCGAACGTAAATTTGCGGACCCCAAATCCAGCTATAAGGTGGAAAGAGTATCTTCTGGAAGTACCCACCATCCCAGTCCCTTTGCCTTGCCATTCCCCCTCCGGTCGCTCTCTTATAGCAATGTCAAGTTCTGGCATAGGCGGTGCCAACGGTCACTGTGTCGTCGAGTCGCCTCCAAATCGCAGAATATTAAAGTCGTTTTGGCTCGCCAACCCTTTCGGCATACCTTATTTATTCATTTTTGGAGCTTTATCCCCTCGTTCCGTGGCGTCTGTTGCAGAAAATACCAAAGATTCTATCAGCCACGTTGACCCCCGGTTCATTTCGCTAACATATGGCCGCAGATCGAGATCAATGCCCTGGAGGTCGTATGCCTTGTACTCGAAGGGTCGAATGCAGCGATTCTCTGAGCCTTTCATGGCCCATTCCCGTAACAGAGCACTGGTTTTTGTATTTTCAGGCCAGGGACCCCAGCATTTTAATAGTGAGTGCCTTATAATAATGCCTAAGTTATACCCAGCATTGAGATACATTGTTTGCTTAGTGGGACGTGATATGTTTAGGACCTGCTGCGTTTTTCGTTCTAGCGTGATTGAAATGGATGGTATATACAGAAGTGTATGTGGTGAATCCCTCATTGAGAAGACAGGACTATTTAGCGAAGTCGAATCACCGGAAAGACTGGATGAACCATGGCCCATCGCTATAACCCTCCCAGCTCTTACCATCATCCAAATAGCTCTTTTTGACACTTTGGTTAGCTTAGGTACTAGACCGGACATTGTTCTAGGTCACTCTGCTGGGGAAACAGCGGTGCTCTACGCCTCTGGCGCGGCTTGTAAAACAATGGCCGTTGAGCTTGCAATAGCGCGTGGGCGGTCCATGTCTATCTTGGAGAATAAGGGTGGTACAATGGCAGCAATTTCCTGTTCCGCTAAACAGGTACAACAGTTGATCGATGATGCTGGTGTAAACCTTGACATAGCATGTTTCAATGCTCCAACAGCTGTCACCATATCCGGATCCTCCAATTCTATCGAGGTAGTAGTTGCGAAGGCCCAAGCTGCTGGCATTTTTGCACGACGACTTCGCACGAATGTTCCCGTTCATAGCTCGATGATGGACATTTGTCGTAGTGATTACGAGCGAAGAGTTCAGGATATTTTTGACCGGTATTCCGTTCAACCACCTTCCATTCCAGTTTATTCGACCGGAACTGGACAATCATTCCGAACTCCTTTTACTGCGGAGTATTTCTGGAACAGCTCTCGAGGCCCCGTCCTCTTTGCGGAAGCAATACAGTCATTACTCATTCACCAGGGCGTAGCATCATTCGTGGAGATCAGCCCTCATCCAGTTTTGGCCAGCTATTTGGATGATCTTAATAGTGGCCAAGCTACTATCGTCTGCCCCCTTCGTCGCCCAAAAGCAGGGTCGGATGAAACAGAAATTTCTACTTTTCTCGATGCACTCGGGAGGCTGGTGGTCGCTGGACATAATTGTGTTGATTTCGATGTGCTAACTGGCTCTGTGGATGGGGAAATCGGCCACCTGCCTGCATATCCATTTGCTTCGAGAAAGGTACTACTATCTATCCCCTCTGTCGCGGTGATGAAAGCTCGCCAACCAAGGAATGGACCACTCAATTACCCTCAACTTCGGATCAACTCGATAACTCATCCTCAGTTGGCACAGCATATCATCAAAGGTGAGCCTATCATGCCTGCTGCGGGTTATTTGGAAATGGTATGTACTATCAATTATCTGAGCCTCCTTATCATGACGAATGCTCCGCAACACAATTTACAGGCATTAGAGTTTGGAGCCAAACATTTGTGGAACGTCGATTTTACATTTATGTTATCTTTATCTGGAGACACTCCTACACCTGTTTGTGTGAACCTCGACGGCCCACACTGGACTGTTACCTCATCTTCAAACATCAATTCGCAAACATGTCCTCCTCGCGTAAGGAAATTTAAATTCAATTGCAAATGGTGATCACTAACGCTTTTTGATGCGTAGTTTGATCGCTTACACGCGGAAGGATATATGTCTCGTCAGACACCGAAAGGACCCGTATGTGCTATAGACTTGGATTCTATACGTAGTCGTTGCAATGAGATCGATACATCAGGTAGGCAAGTGTGCTGGCAGTCGCTCGATCATTCTCTTTAATGGTTTATAGGATTCTACGATGCGTTCAAGAGTTTTGCGCAATATGGCCCTGCATACCAAAGGATAACGAAGTTTTATCGCGGAATTTCCTACGATGAGGTATTAGTTCAGGTCCAGGGCTTGGACGGGAGTCTACCAGGGTGAGTTAATACTCATTGCCATTAAAAGAAATCACTCACCTAGCAACCATGCATAGCACTGAGAATTATTGTTTTCATCCGGTCGTTTTGGATGCAGCTATCCACGTCCTTGTCCATCCACTCTTCACGGGATGTACAGACAAAAATCTGTATTACTTACCATCAAAGCTGAAAAATATGGTTGTGCATGACACACTTACGGAACGGCCTTTCCCGCGCTTGATCTACACTCATGCTATATTTAGAAAATGGCTGCCAGGCGAGTCTAAAATTAAATCACGCTAGAATAATGGCAAGCTGACAAACGTTATAGGATCCTTGACCTTTGATCTGACAATCGCCGATGAAAATGGAAACTGCCTTTGCACTATCGAATCTTTTCAGGTGGCTCTTCATGGACAATATTCTCGTGCAAGCATAACCCGGCGTTTTGACTTTTTGTACGTACCCACAGACATATCTTTGACGCTGTGTAAAGGCACGCCTACAACATCCGATATCCATCATGGCATACTTCGATACGCTCGTGGACAAGAAATGGAATTGCAGACCAAAATAGCCGGATATAGGCCATTTGAACCGACGTCATTTTGGATAGTAGCAGCTGACGGACCTGACGGAGACGGGGCAGTTGGTTTTACCAGGGCCCTGAGGCGCGAATATCTTGCATGGTCTATCCATACAGTAGTGTTCGATTCCAGCTGGTCACTTGCGGAAATGCAGCAAGCAGTCCTTACACTCTCTGCCATGTCTAATGTAGAAAAGGAGTTAAAAGTTGATGCATCAGGCTTGGTACATGTTTCCAGGATAGCTCTTTCCTCACCTCCGACTCGCTTGCTTCCATTCCATCCGCGCGATTCTTGGTCTCTAGAAGATTCTAAAATAGTGCGCGTATCTCCTCCATTCGCAGATGATGACCATGTCCGGATTTTAGTCCATGCTGTTGGTCTCCAAGATGGCGAGCTTTGGAGTTTCTTTGGTCGTTCGATGGACACCGATACTTTGGTGGCAGGTATTCACGCCGGTCCATTAACAAATGCCATAGTTTCTCACCCTTTGAGCCTCCTTCATATTCCCAATGTTCTGCCCGGTGATTGTTCAGGACCATCTACTTTAACTCTGGCTATCGCCGTGATCGCCTTGGGGCCTGGGTGTTTCGAAAACCCGCATCTTATTTCAGGGGAGATTCTCATTACACACGGGGATCATCCTGTCGGCGAGCAGCTCGTGAAACTGTGCACAAAGCGCGGGTTCCGAGTATCTTCCCTTCCTCAAAGGGCCACCAGTTATGATATAGGCTCACTTTCTCATCGTCGGTTTTGCCTTATTTTGTCTGGCTATCAAGATTCCATTAACACCAATATGCTATCCCGTGCATTATCAAGCTATGGTAAAATCTTTCGCTGGAATGATCCGGAGACAGGTCTTTCTTCGATTCTTAACAGAGAACCATGGGTGATTGGGCACTCTATACGCTTGGCTTTACGTATCCTTGGCACTGAAGATTGTAAGGGACCGTTTACGTCGCTGGAAGACATGATAACTGTGAAAACCGGTGATCTGATACCCTCTCGAGTTGGCCTGTTTAATCGCCACAAAGTTTATATTTTGATCGGTGGAATGGGTAGTTTGGGGCTTCAAATTGCGCAATGGATGTATCAGGTGCGTCTTGTCTTCTGTTCAAGGAGGAAAGCACTGACATACAAGGATACAAGAATGGCGCTCGCCATATCATTTTGACTTCACGCTCTGGGCGTAATGGTTTACTCCGGAGAGGAGATACTATGGCACGAAGGTTGCTACAGTACTTGGATGGCTTGAAAGATCTCGTTATCCAAACAGAGACTGTTGATGCTGCTTCGCTCGAGGCCATGACTATTCTGGTTGACTCAATTTCGAAACCACTGGGAGGGTGCATGCTTCTCTCAGTTGTGTTAAGTGATGGGATGTTCTCATCCATGACTTCGGAGAAATTTGAGGAACCATTCCCAGCTAAAATCACAGCATTTGAAATTATCAGCAATATAATTGATGTCGCATCTCTGGAATTTTTCATTTCTTTCTCTTCGATCTCAGGGTTTTTTGGAAATGCCGGGCAAACAAATTATGCCAGGTGAGCTAGACTTTCACGCTCACATCATATCCTTAGAAACTAAGGACACATCCGATAGTGCAAACGTTATTTTGGATGGCTTAGCAAAGCCCTACAAGAACGCATTTTCTATTGTCACTCCTGCGGTCACCGATAGCTTCACTGCCACTGGGGCAGGTGAAAGCTTTCACGCGGCCCGCATCAAGCATTTGACTAGCTGGGGAATGTCCTCTCAAGGTCAGAATAGACGATATATTGCTATACTGTGCTCAATATATACTCTCTTTCAGAGCTGTTACAGTGTATTGAAGATGGCATCTTGAAACTGATTGACGGGCCTTTCTGGTTATATATACCCGATTTCAATTGGCTTGATGTTCGCACAAATATGGGTTCATCACCCACCTACGAACATCTTGTCGTGGACGACAGGCCCACAGTAGCAAGCGCTTCAAACCCCGAGAAATCTGGATCGTTAAACCATATAATATGCGACCTGTTAGGTGTTCTTCCGGAAGATCTCTCGCCAAATGTCCCGTTGACAACCTATGGCCTAGATTCGCTCTCGGCGGCATCGTTATCCTTTTCCCTTCGTTCGCATATTTCCATCTCTCAGACTCAGCTTCTTGCAGATATGACCTTGCGGAAACTGGAAGCACGCATCGAAGAAAATACATTAGTTCCATCATCGCCTTTGGAGCATAGGCGGCAGTCAATTGAGGCCAAATGTTTAGAAATGGAGGACCTGCTTAAAAAGTACACTTCTCATTTCCCAGCTCATATAGGCAAGTCTATACCAGGGGCCAATCAAGGCCGTGTGATCCTCGTTACCGGAACTTCTGGTACCTTAGGAGCTGCTGTGCTTGACCGTCTTCTTCGGTATCCAAACGTCAGCCAAATTTATGCCCTTAATCGTCGTGATGTCTCTGCAAGGCCACAGCTGCAGCGGCATATAGCCGCTTTTGAAGCTAGAGATTTTGATGCATCATTCTTACGCGCGCAGAATTTGACCTTTCTGGAGGGAACAGTAGATCAAATGTATTTTGGGCTACCTGCCGACTTGTATCATCAGGTAAAGTTCTTACGGCTATTTCGCGTGTCTCAAATTGACAACTTTCCTAGCTCACCAACTCTGTGACACATATTATTCATGCGGGTGAGGAGGCATATCCTAATATTCCAGCTTACATCTAATGTATGTCTTAGCCTGGCCCATCGACTTTAATATGCCTTTGTCTTCATTTGAGCAAGCTATTCTTGGTGTGCGACAACTAGCGAATTTTGCACTGGAGTCCCCTCTGGTGAATCCACCACGCCTTCTCTTCACAAGTTCTATAGGTGTCCTCAGTGGTCAGTAGCTCTTTTTTCAGTAATACGATAAAGGCTAAACGTATGGACAGGCCTGAAGTCGTCAGATGCTACCGAGGAGACGCCGATAGAGGATCCAAGAATCTCGGTTGGTGCGGGATATATAGAGAGTAAATGGGTTGCCGAACGTGTCCTTTCCGCAGTAGCCGCATCTACTGCCTTGCGGCCAGTCATCGTTCGTATTGGACAACTCACTGGGGGACGAAATGGATTTTGGAAAGTAACGGAGTGGGTACCTTCAATGATTCGCTCTAGTATCACTTTAGGGGCGCTGCCAGACCGATCTGACGTATGAATTCTCTATGACGCAAAAAAATTACCTAGAGTGCTGATCCCTTTCCACAGATTCTCAACTGGATTCCTGTTGATATCGCCGCACCAGCCATCATTGATATGATGGATTCATCGACTCACATACTCCATCTAGTTCATCCTCACCCTATATGTTGGTCGGAGTTGATGCAACATATTGCGCTGGCTATGAATCTGCCACTGATTCCTTACTCGAGATGGCTGTCGTCTCTTGAAAAGCGGTCACTGTTTCAAGACACGTCAGGGAAAATCATTCCGGCTCTTAGATTACTTGCTTTCTTTCAGTACTCTGTTTATCGAGGAGATGGATCCTCGACGGACAACTTTCTAGAGCCAAGAGCATCCTGCCAGCAAGCAATACAGGTGTCGCCGACTTTAAGGGATACGAGCATAACTCCACTAGGGCTACGGGATGTGGAGAAGTGGTTGTCATACTGGAACAGGGTGGGTTTCCTTCCCCTAGATGCATCTGCGATTTAAAAGTGGCTACTGCATTTTATATCATTATTGTTGCCTCTGTGATTGGAGAGTGTCTATGAAATGGCAAACAGATCATGCTGGATTCAAGCGAATCACAGCGTGAAGTGACCAACGCTTGAAGCCTCAGTATGGTATGACATCAGTAAAACATCAATTTCCTTTAAAGATCTTAACTCAGCTTGGAACCATTTGAATAAGCATTAAGATTATTTTCGTGCCAAGGTTAAGATGAAAAAAGTGTGAATAAGGACACCCAAATTCTTGAATGTCACTTCTTACGACTTCAAAACAAACTTCTTACATCACAAAAGTTGCAGAAGTCCGAGATTGCCCGAGATGCATGAGGGAGGATGAGGGCACGTGACGAAGATCAGTTCGCATCATATCATGACATCGAGATGCAGCAAGAGTTATATCAGAATTGGTGTTTCTCAATAACAACTTGATATACCAATGTTGTAGTATATGTCATGTAGATACATACAATGTAAGATATTTTAGTATCGGCAGAAATAAAAATCTATTAATGAGAGTCTAATGGGAATAATTGACAGCAGGTATATATTTCTATGCTCTGTTTCAGCAACTTCCTGAGTTAGTTTTGTCTTGGATCCTCCACTCATTCAAAATCATAATAGCAATGCCCTCAGATACAGAATTCAAAGTGATTCAAATATAATAGTCCTACCACATTTGATACTAATAATTTATCATGTATTTTGGCTTTGCAATAAATAATATCCTGCCATGAGACTTCCAAAAGGACCCTGACACCATGTGATATGTGACATTTTTGGGATCTCCCAAGGTATATGGGAATTCCCAGGAGTTTGATACAAATATAAACAAGCTCAAAGCCCTAGTTTGGGGGTAGCCTGAAGTAACCAAGGACTCGTGAAAATCACCCTGGGCCAAACCCGTTTTAGTACAGTGGTTGTTTGGTTATGGTTGGAACTTTGAACACTGCGGAGCACAGCATCTTACATGGCCAGACATTCATAGCCACTCTGCACAAGTTTTGCCAATGTAGCGTCCATCTATATGGCAATAAAAACTGAGCTCTATCTGTGCATTAGGCTCAGTCCGTTTTTTGACTTTAAGATTAGCCTCTGATCCAGGTTGCAAATGAGTGAGCTTTTTCTTGATTTGCAACCAAGTCTGGACCTGGGGTCCAAGAAAATCTCCAACATCACAATGCTAGAAAGTACCCAATCACAGTCCGATATCAAGCTTAATCTACATACTGTTTTGTTTTATCTCCTGTACCTCCATGGACGTCTTCAAAACCCATGACATCTACCCTGACATCTCCAGTCTCTCTCCCACCAAGCTCAAGCTGAATATACACGCCAATGTGATGACTACAATGCCAATGATGAAGCATCAGCCAACCCACAGTGTCACAAGCTGTTGCATTAGTAGACAGTGGCATTTGCAACTTACTGACATCTTTGATAGCTGGTGGTGGATGCGATGAAGCCCAACCGGCACCTCCCAGTCCACCTCCTTCTAATATCCCTGACTTTGACTGGGGTCTTTTTGACAACCCCACCAGTGCTATTCTTGATCCATTGCCTGAGGAGTGGGAAGTGGCCGCAATTGCACAGGTGGTTCAGGATCATTGTGATGCTCTCTCAACGTGGTCAGCAGGTACATCACATGTTACACACAAAGTGCTTAACAAAGTCCGAGGGTTTGTCGAGGTTTGTAAAGAGACTTATCCAAGGACAAGTTTGAGAATGTGGTTCAGAGTTGAGTTCTTCCAACAAGAGTTGGTCTTCTTCTGAGTAGAAGTCTTGATCTTAGGGGTCTAGCTTTATAAGCGTAAACTGCGTAGAATCATATTGGAGAATACTACTACTGTTACATGTGTATTTATAATGGAAAGAGTCAGTGATAGGAGTTAGGTCCTATCTAGGGCAGGTCCGTCCATTAAGGACTAAGTACTATAATAGGTAATACAAATGTGAGAAGAGCGGGAGTATACGTGAAGGAAATGAGTCATCGGTCTGATGGTATAACCGATGAGTAAAGAGAAATAAGTAGTCCTTAAATGTCTAATAGAAATTGTAACATTACCCCCTCACTTGCTCTGAGTTTCACCGAAACTCTGTACCTTTGCCGTCGATATTGTAACCGTCATTGTAGCTGACGTCTCCATGTAATCCTTCCATCAGAATCCTATCCTTGTCCTCCCTACAGATGGGACACCAATTGAAACTATGTCCCGGTGCACGACGGTTGCAGTCGGGGCAATAATAGGCTTCACAGTAATATGTGCAATGATCGCTCCAACCGCAGTTCTGGAAGTATGGAGCGTTGTTACGAATGCCTTCGTGGTAATTTTTTCGGGTGTTGGAGGAGGTGTCGGATTGGGGAGTGGTTGGATCATCATCTCCCAGGTTGTACGTTCCTGCATACAACTGATCAATCATGGCTGCATTGTCGTCTACGTTGATTGGGTTGGAAGGCGAACCAGGCTCAGACCTGTGCGTTGCGCCAAGCGGACTGTCTTTCAGACCCCCGGATGTACAAGACTGCTGTTTTGATGGAGTTTTTGCGGCAGGGATCTGGAGTATCACTTCTTGTTGGCTGCGTCTGGTTCCTTGTTGGTTCGTCAGACAACGATGGGTTAGGCCGTTTGGTACTGGTTGAGGTGGAGGTGACTGGGACATCGGCGGTTTTGGGTTCAACCCAATGGAACGGGGACTGGAGGGGTTCAATCCTTGCAAGATCGGGCTGGTTGGGACAGTGGGAATGGATTCCTCTGCTGACGGGGTGGACGGAGGTTGTCGGATGACAATGTGGTAAGTGGGCTCCGGGGTAGCACTGGTCTCCTCGGGGTATGATAGGGACTGGCGGGACAAACCAGGTGGAGGAGTACTCGTGCAACCATCTTGCTCTATCAGCGTGTGAGCTTCGTTTAGCAATATCCTCCCGCTTGATTCCAAATATTCCCTTGCCGTGTCCGTTTGCCCATTTGAGGAGTTCATCCTCAAGTGTTGTTCCAAAGATTCCAAAACTAACTTTTCCATCCGGAGTGCCCAAGAGATACTTGAGTCCTGACTGTTGAGCTGTGAATGCTCGTTTTCCAACAAACATATTGAGTCTATGGCTTTTAGGAGTTCGTCAGCTATGAGGTCTATGGCAAGGAAGGTATGCATGGAAGAAAGAGCATGATACGCATGGGGGCAGCGTTTTTTGGTCTCGTAAAAGAGATAGGTATAGGTGTCCTTTGCTGACATTAATTCTATGGCGTTGGTGACATCGGCTTGGTTGTGTCATTGCCCACAGGCAAATGTCACTCATTCGTCGGCTAGCAAGTTAGCATTGCCAGGTATTGAGTAGGTGGTGATAGGGAAGCTGGTGGAGTTGGAAGTGGACATATTTGTGTTTTTAAGGGTTTAGAGGACTGGTGGAAGTGGTTGTGGTTGTCCCTTTCAGCGCAGTTTGTGGTCCTTCTTATAGGCTTTCAGTATCTCCGCAGCATTGGTTAAGTGTTCTTCCGGTTCCCATGAGTTTTTGGAATGAGGGTAATGGCACCATTTGATCAGGTAGCGGCGCCCGCGTTTCCAGGGTTTGTGTCTAAGAATACTTTCTACTCCGTATTTTTCTTCTTCATTAACAAGGTCAGGTGGTGGTCGGATAAAGTTCGGGCCGTGAGTGTTGGTCTCCGTATACGGGGTGAGAAGGGATGCGTGGAAAACATTGTGTATGCTCCAATGGGGAGGCAGGGATAGTCAGTAGTTTACCGGGGAAATCTTTTCTTGGATGCAAAAAGGTCCAATGCGTTTCATGTTAAACTTCTTGTATTCGCTAGCTTTTTCTCGTAGGTTGGTGTTCTCTAACCACACCTTTTGTCCTTCGGAGAATTGCGTAAACTTTCTGTTGTTTTGTTTCATCATCTTGCTTCTCGCAAGTTTGTGTGCTTTTAGGATGTTTTCCCTTGCCCTAAGCAATTCGGATAATTGTTTTTCCACTGATGGGATGTCCGTGGATCTGTGTCTAGTTGGGATTCCTTGGGGTTCATATCCCATGAGGAGGTAGAATGGTGATTGGTTGTTTGTGGAGTGTGGTCGTTGGTTGTGACAGAATTCGGCGGTTGTAAGGTATTTTGCCCAGCTGTGTGGTTGGTTCTGGCAGGATATGCGGAGGTAGATCTCCAGTTCTTGATTGGATTATTCTGTTTGTCCATCCGTCTGGGGATGATATGCAGAGGAGAGTGCGGTTTCAATGTTCAGGAGTTTGTGGAGTTCTTTGGATACTTCAGAGGCGAACTGTGGTCCCCTGTCGGATATGAGTTTATCGTGCAATCTGAATCATTTGAAGATGGAATTGTGAAAGATTCGTGCGGTTTTGAGCGCGTCAATGGTTTTATGACAAGGTGAGAGGATTACCCCCTTACTAAGTCCTTGGTCTACCATGACCATTATACTATCGTATCCTGAAGATTCTGGTAAACCAGTTATGAAGTCTACGGATAGGTACTTCATCGGTTCTGTGGTTTTTGGCATCTGGTTTGGGATTAATGGTACGGTGGTGGGATGTGTGTTGACTTTCGCTTGTTGACAAGTTGTGCATCCTTTCACATATTCTTCCACTTGTTTCATCATTCCTGGCCACCAGTAGGCCTTTTTGATTAACTGGTAGGTTTTGAGCCTACCTGGGTGTCCTGTAGACAGAGAATTGTGGTGATCTTTGATGATTGTTTTTTGTTCTTCTACTTCATCAATTAATAATTTATTCTGATAGAAGAACTGTCCTTCTTCTTTGCTCCAATCTTCCTTCTTTGTTCTTCCTGGATAGTTATTGTTCATGAGCATAGCTTACTCTATTGTGTCTTTTATTGTTTGTGTGTGATACAGGAATGCTGATGCTGGTATCATTGGTGTGTCATCGTTGTCTTCTTTGTTTTCGACATATAAATCAGGTCTTCTTGAGAGTGCGTTGGGTACCACCATGTGGGTTCCTGGTACATGCTCCAAGGTATAGTTGTATTGTGACAGTTCCAACTGCCATCTTCTTTGTCGCGGTGTGAGTTTTCTGGCTTCTTGCCAGTACATCAGGGTTCTTGTGATCCGTTAGGATTTGGATTGTATGGGGGCTTCCCAAAAGTAAGTGTTTCCACTTTTTTAAAGCTCTCATTACCGCTAATAACTCTTTGTCGTAGATCTAGTAGTTCTTTTCAGCGGGGGATAGAGTTTTGGAGAAAAATGCACATGGGTGCCATTGTCCTTGGTCATTGGGTTGCATTAATACAGCTCCTGTGGCATGTTTGCTGGCATCTGCTGCAATCTTTGATGGTTTTGAGGAGTCAGGGATTTGTGTTACTGGGGATTCAAGGAATTTTTGTTTCATTAAACTGAAGGCATCATCTTTGATTTGCGTCCAGTTCCACTTTTTTTCTTTCTCTAGTAAGGCGTTTAGGGGTCTGGCTAGGTCAGAGTAATGACCAATGAACTTCCTGTAGAAGTTTCCATAATCTACGAACTTTCGCACACCCTTGGTGTCTTTTGGGATTGGCCAATTGCGTATTCCTGCGAGTTTGGCTGAATCCATTGATACCTGGTTGTGGGAAACAATCATTCCCAAGTATTCAATGGTTTCTGCCTCAAAGGTGCAGTTTTCTAGTTTTAGGAAAAGGTCGTTATTGCGTAGCCTTTGTAGAACCTGTTTTGTTTGGATTCGGAGTCTTTCGACATTGGTGTCAAAGATGAGGATGTCATCCATGTATATGATCATCCAGCCTTTGTCAATGCAGTCTTTGAATTTGTTGTTCATCAGCCTTTGGAATGTTGCCGGCAAATTGCACATGCCGAAAAACATGACCATTGGCTCGAACACTCCCTTGCTGGTTTCAAACGCAGCTTTCCATTTGTCTCCTTCTTTTATCCTTATATTTTTGTATCCCCAACATAGATCTAGTTTTGTAAACATGGTGGCTCTTTTCAGTTTTTCGATGAGGTCGGGTATCAGGGGTAGTGGGTAGGGGACTTTCACAGTATATGCATTCAGTTTTCTGTAATCTTGGCATAGTCGGAGTGATCCATCCTTTTTGCCAATGAAGAAGAAGGGGGACACCTGTGGCGACTTGCTCGGCCTGATGTATCCCTTTCAGTAGTTTTCCATTAAGAATTCCGTCAACACTTCGTCTTCCTTTCGTGCCAATGGGTACAACTTGCAATCCATTGGTACAAATTCTGGTTTCATGTTGATTACATGATTGTATTCCCGTCGCTTGGGGAGCCTTTCTGACTTCTTTTTGTCAAAGATGTCCGAATACTCTTTATATTCATCTGGGAGGACATGCTCTTTCTTTTCTCCGTGTATCTGTGCATGTTATATTGCCAAGTTGACCTTTAATCGAATTGTGGTTTGAGGATAGGGTGTTTGGTCGGATACGTATCTATGAATGGTTTCATATTCATCTTGCTCTATCATGGTTGTCCTGATGTTTGTTTCCGTGGCGGTTTTGTTGATCCTTGTTGAGCATTCATCTGAGCTTGATAATTCTTTGTCATTCCAGTTAATGACAGGATTGACCTTTTGTAACCAGGGAAATCCCAGTAATATGTCTTCTCTGTCTAGTCCGGTCAATAGGAACTTTGTAAACCTGTTTTGTCCTCCTGCATCTATCCTCTGATAGGTGTAATGCATAATTTTTCCATTTTTGCTCATGGTTCCGTCAACATTTTTACATGTTATAGGAGTTGGGAGTTTTTGGAGGGGGAGTCGGTGTCTGATGGTGAATTTTGTGTCCATGAAGTCATTTGTAGCTCCTGAATCTATCAGGGCTTTGGTTCCGATGATTTTCTGTTTCAACGAGCAATCAATTTGTAAAGAGTTGGCATTGATTGTTGCTATTGTTACAGTTGCCATTTTTGACGGCATTAACATTGGGATAGTCTGTGATAGAAAATGTCTGCTTGTTCTCTGGTGTGGAGTCGGGTTACGTCTGGTTGGGGAAAGGGAGGTATCCTTTCTTGTCGGGATGACATCGGTGGTGTTGCTGTTTGTGGGTTGTCTGAGCTTCCTCTTGCTCTCTGGGATCTGGTTGTTGGTCGTTGTGACATCTTGTCGACTTTTTCTTCCCAAACCTAAATAGGTGGGACTTCTGGTTGAAATATGATTCTTTTGTTACATACAAAGTGCTTAACAAAGTCCGAGGGTTTGTCGAGGTTTGTAAAGAGACTTATCCAAGGACAAGTTTGAGAATGTGGTTCAGAGTTGAGTTCTTCCAACAAGAGTTGGTCTTCTTCTGAGTAGAAGTCTTGATTTTAGGGGTCTAGCTTTATAAGCGTAAACTGCATAAAATTATATTGGAGAATACTACTACTGTTACATGTGTATTTATAATAGAAAGAGTCGGTGATAGGAGTTAGGTCCTATCTAGGGCAGGTCCGTCCGTTGAGGACTAAGTACTATAATAGGTAATACAAATGCGAGAAGAGCGGGAGTATACGTGAAGGAAATGAGTCATCGGTCTGATGGTATAACCGATGAGTAAAGAGAAATGAGTAGTCCTTAAATGTCTAATAGAAATTGTAACATCACATGTATGCACTCCTCTTTGCATCATGCTCATATTTGCCAGTTAATGATGGCACAGATGCTGTGGCTCATGCTTGTAAATGAGCTCAAACCTCAGATCATGCAGCCAAATCACAACAATGGTTTCCCTGGCAAGACAAAGTTGTAAATTGATGTTTATATATATATATATATATATATTTCTATCTTCTATATCTTGACCCAATCACGTAGACCTGTACTCTTAGTATCTTAATGCACTTGCCCCGGTCTGTATTCTCCCAAAAACAGCTGGATCTTTTCCTGTGGCTGCTGAAAGTGAATGATGTGGATGTCATACTATCTGTCAAGGCCATGCAGAGCTGTAATTCAACTTTGCAGAGGCTTTGTGGTGTTGACACAATGCTGTATCAAGGAGCACTAGGCTACAGTTTTCATGTAAATAATCTAGCACAAATAATCTCTCAGGTCAGCCGCACATTTTTTATATATCTTGTCATATATGATACAATTATAATCTATCACTGGCAGGAAATGTCTAATCTCTATCTACACTTCTATCCTGAAAACAGCGGTCAGCATCTTTCTGAGGCCAGACAAACTTCACAATGGCTTTGTGAAGCACCAAATGACATACTTACACCCATAACACAAATTCATGGGCAGGACTTCTACATTCACAAGCCTGCCATGCTTAGCAATGAGTATGTATGCCGATACGGTGGTTTCAACGTATACAAAATAGCCGGCCCATCCTCTTTGCAAGGTTGTTGGGAAATGGAACCCATTGACTCTGATGAGGGAAAAAGCTGGGAGGTTATCAAGCACAGTGTATATGAAGTTATGCAACAAGATTTTCTCCTCAACTTCCCCCAACTTGCTGAGCAAATACATAAATATAACCTTCCACACCCTCAACACATTTCTGGTTTGTTTAATTATTAATTTCTATTTTTTAGGATGACATTCTTTTTATCCTTCCAGCTTTTTTGGATCCTCTAACAGAAGTATCAACCTTGTGGACTTTCACAGATCCAGCTGTTGGTGTACTGAAGCACAGCAAGAATATAATGTTCATTTTCTGTGTACCTCAAATTTGGCACCTCCACTTGAGATGTTGGATGGTATTGTTGAGCAACTAGAGTAGGTGATTTCCTCAATATTGTCACTCAATCATTAACTAAAATTCAATAGAAATTCACATGAACATAGTATATGGGCCTGGGACTCAGACAGCAACAAGCCAGTTCTCCTGCTTCCCTTTGTTCTCGCACTTCTAGGTGACAATCCTATGCAAAGCGAGTTTGCATGCCACATAGGTTTGTGTGACAAGCTCTTTTGTTGTGCATATTGGGTAAAAAGCACTGGTATTGCTCCTGATGCTCCAGACGTCTCAGATTGAGATGGGAACAGTGTAGCTGGTACTAGTGAGAATGACAGCAATTCAGGGAGCAATAACAGCTTACACAACATGTATGCCATATCTGATCAGGCTAGTCAACCAACAACAGGAACCAGCCCAGATCCACCTATAACTCAATCAAAATCACACCAAACAAAAACACAGAAACCATGGCTGCAATGCTTGATTGCATCAAAGCTTTTGTCAAGGTACATTTCTATATATTGATCCTTTGTTGCTTTTAACATTGTACTACACAGTCTGGCAAGCCACATTACAGGCAAGAGACTTTATCACAGCTCCAATCTCAATTCATTCAAGCTTCTCATCTCAACTGCAAAACAAAAGTGACTAATATACAAACAGAGTCTGGAATCAAGGATACCTACCAGAAGCATTTTATTGACAAGAATTTCTGCTCATACAAGCATCTTCGGGGGTTCACAACCAAACAAGCGGCATTAGACTCAAGCCTGGCTTTGCTCCCTGCAAATATTTTTAGTCCTGTCTGGCATATTAAAGGTTAGAATACCAAGGCTTTGCTGATGTGGTTCTTCTGTGTATTCATGTAATCCATTTATCAGGCCTTGGTCCACTTTAAGACACACCCATGGAGATCTTACATGTAGTTCTGCTAGGATTTGTGAAATATATGTGGTGTGACTTAATCCAGAACCAACTCAAGCTCCTCATCACTCTACTCACCTCATTTGATGTATCTGGACTCAGCATTTCACCCCTCACTGGTAAAACATTGGTTAGATATTTGGGTTCACTGACTGGCCGAGAGTTTTGGGCTATTGCTCAGGCTGCACCATTTGTGGCCTATGATTTAGCTACCCCAAATTGCTTGGCAACATGGGTGGCTTTATCTAAACTGATTCCATTTACCAGCCATATATCAAACACATTGAATATCATCTGGTATTTTGTCACCGGAAAAAAATGCCTTGTCAGTTTTCTGTCATTTGCACAGGCCAAAAACTGCTTCAAGTTGTTGCAAATGCAGATAGCCACCTATTCAAGACAAACAAGACAGTGGTGCTACAAAATGGTGATCAATGTTCTTGTTATGATAACACAATTTTTGGACCTTCCCTTTACTTTTATTCTCCGCTTTAACCTTGTACTTTAGCTTTCACACATGGTGCCACGCGGCACTTTCCCCTTTTGGTTCTAACTCCTCTTTCTCGCACCGCGTTGCCTTTCTTCTTATTTTTGACTCAACTCTCTCACACAGTGGAGCTGACCATACGGGCTAGGCTCCATGACATCATCAGCCACTGTCTCTATCAACTGTATAGTACACATGTACAAATAACCCTGTAGTAGTATATATACCCCAATAGATCAAGGAGACTCCTCAGCGAGTCCTCCTGTTGTATACCAACAAACTCTCTGCAGCTCAAAGGATAACCACTCCCACATCATCTTCTCTATAGTGTGTTCTGTGTGCGCCAGAGTAACTAACTCTTGGTTGTTACAGTTCTCCTGTCCAATATGTGCTCGTACAACCCCATGGTGTTATGAATGCAGAGCATTTATATGTGATACTAGTTGAAAAGATCATGCAAATCCAAGGTTTGCTGAATGGCTTAGCCCAGGTGCCAGGCGGAATCTTGATCCAGTCTGGCACATTAAACCACACTTCACCCTACTCCATGTCACAGATTGTATTGACTGAAAACTGGTTATTGGCTCATGTACAGGTAAGCTGATATTTGTAATTATCAACCTCATCTCTCACACATTGATACATTCCAATTACTATAAGATATCCTATGTACTGTCAATGTGTAGCACAATTGCATTGACAACCAGTGTGAGGCATCAGGTACCCGGCCAGTTTATCAAGAGCACCAGCTTACAGATCAGACCCAGCCCAGCCTGACACACAAGCATCCATCTAATATTGTTATGAACACAGCACAAATGTGGGATGCCATTCATATTCAATATTTCCAAATTCCTTTGACATCCCTGGATACCGGAGATATTCTGACTGCCAGTGTTGCCAAGGAGGTTGATGCCTGCAGGTCTGTGGCTTCACAGAAGGTGCTGAACAGTGGTTTTACTCAAGCAGGACCATCACATCAAAAAGCCCGAGTTTTGCAGCTGCAAAAATGATTGCAATAATACCTACACATGTACCTATGAGGTACAGGTTCAGTATCATCCATCCAACTATCAAACTTTTGACATTTACAAATCATGTCAGGGGTTCAGTATCATCTGTCCAACTATCAAACTGACCTTGGATGATCACCATTGGCTGTACAGCCATGGTGAACCCCAGAACAAACCAGAGTCAAGGCCAGGAGAAACTTGAGGAAAGGCTGGCTAAGCAATCTGTGCAAGACCAGGAAAGGGTGGGTGGATTGAGTAGAACTTGAGAAAAGGGTGTGGTGTGTGTGAAATGTATTTTATGAGAACATTAACAAAACTATTGAGCTTGATGATGCTAAGTTCAGTTTGTCAGGCAACATTGCAGTGTTGGAGTAGGATCAAGTTCAGGTGATTTAGCATTAGACAGGCACTCAGATCTGTTTTCATATATCTAGCTAAAGGCCAACAGTTTGGTTTGAAAGGATGGTATTTTACTTGACATAAGATCCAAAGACTTGTCTGAGTTGTGGATAAACATGTGTTCATGTAAGTTAGTTCCATGCACCAATATCACGTGACAAAGTTGAACTTGTTGCATGACAAATAAAACAGTTTTTTTTTCACTTGCTTTTTCACTGTCCATCTGTTGAGGATGTTTCTTGTGTGTCCACCTGTGGACTTTTTATGTGACTCACTGATCTATTGTGGATGTGCAGGCTGATATCTTCAGTTTCAGGTCAATGGCTGCAGCAGCCTGTTAAGGTTAAGTGTGTGTCACTCCATTTTTGATGTCAGGTGTTTTAACGACTCAATTTTACAGGAATATCATCTTTGTTCGCCAGCAGACTCAGAGATTACATGTGAGTTGGTTATACTGCATTAAAAGGGTTGCAGTTTGTTTATATCATCATGTCTAAGGTAATAAATGTATTACACAACAACAAGGACATGGGCCTGATGGTCTTGCTGTCTTGATTTTGGTGTCACAATCTGGAGAGACTGGTGGCCACAGATTTTTGGTTGGTCACTAAACTGTAACCACTATGTAGCAATGATATACTATTCATAAATGTCTCATTCCACAAGTAATTACTATCCTGAATGTGGGGCAATATTAAACTATAACAAAACAACACCTGTCTCCTTCTGCACTTGCAGGGAGTAAAAGGTATAATGAGCCCTGAGATTGACAGATGCTAGAGATGGTAGTAGGTAGAGGACTGAGAGTGGACTTTAAGGGTTTTGATTAGGAGTAAAGTGGGTTATTCAAGTAATAAAAAGCTAAAGAACTATACACAAGTATGTAGGGTTTTTATAGCTAATTGTCTATCTCTCAGACTGAAAGAGGAATAATAGAAAGGTGGTCTAAGGATAAAACCAACCAATAAGAAAAGAACAACTATTGTATGACTTCAAGGATCAATCAGCAGGTGAGGAAATATAGTAATAATAGGTAGCATCATGCATGTTCAGAAACTGTATCCTCATGATGAAGTACAATCCCTGACTAAAGTGTTTATTAATATATTCAGGCACTGATGGGACTTGGAGCTGGTTGGCGAGATCTCAGCTATTAATCCTTACCCATTGTGCTGGCTGGCTGGGAGTACTACCCAGTCTCTGATCTGCAATATGAAGTGGTATCAATGGTTAAGAAAACCCATTAGGGCAATGATAAGGAGAATGGCAAATAACACCTCCAGCCCTAAGGCCAGTGGTGTAATGGGAAAAGTGTTTGAAAACCAAGACATAAAAGCAAAGAAATAAGAAAAAATATATGGTCCTTACACTAAACAGCAAGGAAAGAATAAGTAAAATGTGAGACTGATAATAGAAGGATATTAATAGATGTGCAATCAGCTTTGAGGGCAAGTCCAAAATGGTTTGAAGTTCAGTTGTACCCCTAATTTGCTTATGCAATGTCACTAACCATGATTGTTGTGAGTATCAATGTTTTTATAAGATGTGCTTTGCAAGTACAGAGAAAATTGGTGAAGACAAAATGTCACAAATATGGAAAGAAAAATAGTTACTAGATAAAACTTGTACAACAAAGTTTGCAGGCAGGCCGGGGATTGAGTGCAAGGAGGTACAAGGCATATGTCAGCTAAAAATATTAGGTAAGCAGAAAATCATGCTTACTTATTTTGCATGCTCAATCAAGCTCAAGTGGCCAGGGTAAAAAATTGGGTTTTAGCTGATCTGTGGAGTGAGTGTTGTGATGGAGTGGATTGAGAATGGAGGCTGCAGCATTGGACAAGGATTGCTACACCATTATATGACCACCAGGTTAGCAATTGTGTGTATGGCTAGATTATGAGAGCTGAATGGCAGAGCTTAGTCTGTTGACTATAGTGCAACAGCCATAGAAATTTTAGTACCGCACAGTTATGCAGATCCGTGGCCATGTTATTGGTTACAGGTCATACAATCACACATAACAAGGTTTTTTCCTTACTACCGCTCACTGGGTGCTCAATCTTGTCCAATGCTGCAGCCTCCATTCTCAATCCACTCCATCACAACACTCACTCCACAGATCAGCTAAAACCCAATTTTTTACCCTGGCCACTTGAGCTTGATTGAGCATGCAAAATAAGTAAGCATGATTTTCTGCTTACCTAATATTTTTAGCTGACATATGCCTTGTACCTCCTTGCACTCAATCCTCGGCCTGCCTGCAAACTTTGTTGTACAAGTTTTATCTAGTAACTATTTTTCTTTCCATATTTGTGACATTTTGTCTTCACTAATTTTCTCTGTACTTGCAAAGTACATTTTATAAAAACACTGATACTCACAACAATCAAGGTCACACTGCATGAGAAAATTAGAGGTATAAAAGCGGCTGTTGAATATACTAAGATGCCGTGCTCCGAGGTGTTTAAAATTCCAACCGTAATCAAACAACCACCGTATTTTAATAGGGGGAAAGTTGAAATCTTCAAGTGAAAATAAATACCATCATAAAATAATCAACTGATTCTGTGGTGACAGGAACAGGTGATTATTGCTTGTTTTATGTCTGAATTCACCTCATGCATAAGTTTTGGGTCAATGATGTATCGCACTACCTTTTAAGGTTATTTTCCTACTATGCTTCACCTGTAAAAAATACACTGATTGCTAAGCATATTCATGTGTTATACATGTTGATATTGCCCATGTAAGGAATTTGTTTATCCAGTATAGGATATAGTGATTTCCCTCCTGATATCAGATCATCCACTTCGACTCAATTTGCCTAATATATACTGGTAGTTTTTCCTAATTCCAAATGTTGAGAAAATTGCTGGAAGATTAACCAGCTCAAGAGACAGTGATTTCACTCAGATCATCCACTTTGAGTAAATCTCACCTAATATAAATGAGTACACTTTCCTCATCATAGAAGTTGTGGAAATCACTTGAATACTAATATTAATTTTTCCCGGTCCAAGTGACTGGTGTTTCTGGCATTGTTCCAACCAATTAAAAAACAACTAGATACATGTAAGAGTGATGATAAAACATCAACATCAGAAATAATTATGAGTATGGTGTCAATGATGAGAACTGTTGTTAGAAAACCACACACAAAAACAAACTAACACAGAATCCTCCCAGATTCCATGGAACTTGTGTATGGGCTTTGCCTCCTAGAACAGTGGAGTGGTCTGGTTGTTCATGGGGTGGTACATATAATGATCCTTCAAAGTAAAACCCAGGGATGTATGGGTGTGGGTTTTGAGGAGGAAGGATAGTTGGAATGTAGAAGATAGGGGCTTTGTGGCGAGTATAGACGAGCACTACCTTGCTAATCGTAGCACAAGGTAGGTTTGAGAATGACAATATGACGAGGTTCCCAGTGATAGCAGGCTCCTGACGCACAAACTGTAGTGCTCAGAAGGACTCTAATTGAAAGGGATGACAATGACTTCAAAAGTGGGAAGTGACGATGACAGCAGTTGACAGTGGTAGCAGTGGAAAGTGATGTGACCACACCGGATCACAAGTAGCAGGGTAGTGAACTTGAGATTTAGAGAAGAGGTCTGAATTGGAGTTTTTGTTGTTTTACAAGGTAAAATACAGGGGTTTATATAGTAAAAGAAAGGTAGGCTATGCACAGTATAGCTGTGCAAAAAGAATGAGAAAGAACATGAAGGAAGGAATGTATGCTGACAAATCCTGCATAGGTAGTACAGGATAATATTGTCAAAATAAGAAAAAGAAAGAGATAGAACTATAAATGCTGTGTAAGTAATGTTACAGGTTTGTACAGCTATAAAGTAAAGTCCAATAGCAGAAAGAGAGCAAGAAAATCATGATGTCATGGGAAGATGCAGTAGAAAAAGGGCAAGGCAAGAAAATATCAGTATCAACACAGCTCCTTTATTGTCAGTCAGGCATTCTAAAAAATATGTGTCTATAAAAATGATTCAAAAATCAAAAATAATCGCACTGTAAATGAATGTTCTGCTGAAGAAAAAGAAACTGGAGCCACCGGTCCACCACCTAGTCTAAATCCAACAGTTCCATGGCCTTACCAATGGACTGGTTGTGTTGGACCACCTGATCAAACGAGGGAGGGAGAGGAGTAGTTCCAATTTGGAACAAGTGAGTCCCAGGCAGCGTGTGGTAGGTGTAGCTGTAGCGAAGACGATGGACAAAAGATAAGTATACCCAAGTGAATGGGACAGCGATGAACATGGGCAACGCAAGGGGATGAACCTTCTCCAGCTCAAAAACTACCCACCCATGCTCCAACCAGGCAAGACGAGCGACCAATGTTTTGATAGTATATGATGGCAGATCGATGTCATGAAGATGGACCTGTTGCCCTATTTGGACTGGCCGCCGGGGCTTTGCTGATATCAGCAGTAGCACATGGTAGTCAACGGATTGGTGACGGAAGCAGATAGGAAGTGGTGACATCAGAAATGGTGGGGGTGCAAATAAGATGAGGAGGAGGAGGGTGGAGGTGACAAAAAAATGGATTAGAATGGGGATCCAGAAACAACCGTCAGGTGAGAATAAAAGGGAGAGGAAGGGGCCCATGATGGGGCTAGGCAAAGGAAGGGGAGTAAGGGAAACAACAAAAGCGAGGGCGCAATGCAATGTGTAGCCAGTGGCGACACAAAAATTTGCTGAAATGCTAAAACGCGGAAAGTACCGGATGGAAAAGCAAAGGTGAGCGTGACTGGATTGCCTAATAGAGGTGGTGCTGATCAGCCACAAGTTCAAAACAGGTAATATTAATTACTATTCCACGTGGCACTGTGCCTGTGTGGCGCAAAGGCAAGTCTTTTTGAATATTCGCTTCGTTATTGACACCTGTCCATGCTACCAATCAACTTTGGTGCATGCCAGCACGCACAATAGATAAAATTCCATCCTTTTGCTTACAGTTTATAGATCTGGTCAACTTGAGCCAATCCAAGCTGAAGCTACAGAGCATGGGTGATGACAGTGAAAGCTTTAGTCCTATTTTTAAGAAAAAATATGTTAGTCAAAAGGTCTTGAAGCTTGGGAAGAAATAATCCTACCCATGACAGGGCCTCATAGAATGTTAAGTGCCAGTAATGTAAACCTAATGTAAAGTAAATAAACCTATGTATCTAAACTACACTACCACCAAATACCCATAGGCTTTATGACTTCTCCTCCTTCTTAATCCTGTGGCAGCTTGTCAAATTATTGTGGCGACAACAACAACAGTAGTTGTTGATTGTGGAGTTGTTGATTTGGTTGCCCCCAATGTCGTTGAAGACACCAGAGGAAACCAAATGCTGGTCTGGGCAAAGCCAGCTGGCCTCTCATTATATTTAATGGGTTAAGATAACGTGTTCAGATAGCAAAGGGGATCCTGTAACAACCAAAGCTTTAATACTCTGGTGCACAACTCAGAAAGGCAAGAGTGAGGAAGCTGGGAGTGGGTAATGTGAGGCAACATTAAACTATTACAAAAACAATACCCATCTCCGACTGTACTTGCAGGGAATAAGAGGTACAATGAGCTTGAGGTCAACAGACGCTAGTAAATATAGCAAGTAGAGAACTTGGGAGTAAACTCAAGGGTTTCTGGTGAGGAGTAAAGCGGGTAATTCAAGTAATGAAAAGCTAAAGAACGATACATGGGTATGTAGAGTTTTTATAGCTAATTGTCTATTCCTCAGACTGAAAATAGAATAAAGGGAAAGTGGTCCGAGGACAAAACCATCCAAGAAGAAACAGAATAACTATCGTACAACTTTAGGGATTAATCAGCAGGTGAGAGAAGGTATTAATAATAAGTATTGTCATGCATGTTCAGGAACTGTATCCTCATGATGAGGTACAATCCTGACTAAAGTGTCTATTAATATCTCCAGGCACTGATGGGGCTTGGAGCTGGTTGGCGAGATGTCTACCACCAGTCCTTACCCATTGTGCTGGCTGGCTGGCTGGGAGTACTACCCAGTCTCTGATCTGCAATATGAAGTGGTAACAATGGTTGAGAAAGTCTGTGAGGGCTATGAGAAGCAAGATAGCAAAATACCTCTAGCCCTAGAGCCAGAGGTGTGATGGGGAAAGTGTCTGAGAACCAAGACTTGAAACAAAAAAAAATAAGAAAATAAGAAAATATAAATGGTCCTTACAGGTAAACCCCTTAAGTTAGGACCAAGTTAGTTGTGGGTACACAACAGGTGGACTTACTGAAGAGTCTCATGAATCTATTGGGGTTTATATATTAATACAGGGTGTCTACTTATGTACTATACAGTTGATGAAGGCAGTGGCTGATGATGTCATATGGCACAGCCTGTGTGAAAACTAAGAAAGAAGGTTAAAGCAGAGAGAGAAAAGATGTAAGTCCAAAAACTGTGTATTGTAACAAATCCTTACATTGTATGTATGCTGTGTGCACAGCCTGCAAGACTACTCACACCACCACTTCCAGAAATACACTGCAAGTTTTTGCTAGTTGATTGAATTTTAACAAGTAAGCAGCTAACGGTAGGTAGAATATTGCTACTACAAGAGCAATTCAACTGCTGAATACAGGATTAAGAATAACAGCGTAAAATTAGTGACCAAACCATACTATGATATAGCTTGATACAGTGCTTGGTCCTGGATGGGAATGATCTCCGTGATGGATGGCACATGACAGAACATAGATAGTGGATGGTGGATGGTGGATAGGATGGTACATGAGCTGTTCTTGATTTGGGATTGAGTTTAATGGTGGGCTGAGGGTTAGTAGCTTGTGACAAATAGAAAATGGATATCTCATCCCCCACTCACCATGTTCACTGTGATATTACCCTCCCATGCTCTAAGACTCTTGTGATGAAAACTGTTGGCCTGCTAAGATATAAGGAACAGCCAGAGCATTGAATTGTGATGTGAAAAACCTGCAGAGGAGAGGAGAATCACGATAAGGTTGCTTTGTTAGTTGAAAGGGGCAGAACAATGATATTATGGTGCATACTAAGGGAATATTGTAGCTGCAAGCGTAAAACTGATTGTTGTTACATGGATTTGGGGAGTGTGGGTGTTCTGAAAGCACATTGGGTAGCCATTTTTTTGAGGGATAAGTCATGCATTTTCAAGATGCAAGACTGCTATAGTATTTCCAAATCTCAATAAATTACAAGTTTAAACACAGCACAGAAAAAATAAATTCCTTTTTCTCTGGAAACCTGCTTTCTTGTTTGTTTTTGGTTGATGTTGAGGCAACTGGAAAAACAGGATTAATGACCATGGTACGTAGTGATGGATTGTATACTCTAATGTTTGAGTGTGTCTGTAGTCTATATATCGCTGATATTACTGGTGATACATAAGTGCATTCTATGTATCATAGAACATATAGCTGCAATGCTATTGTAGCAATATGCTACCTATGACGCCATGAACTACAGACTTACATATATCAAGATTGTAGCGGCACTAATATGGCAACAATATATTACGCTGGTTAACACATGGTAGAGTCTATATAGATTGGTCTAGACAGACGCCATATTTACCCACAGTACCGTCGGCATATAGAGAGAAAACCATGGGGGAATTATAGTGGGAATATTCGTGACAGGGTTACCAATTTAGATATGGTGGCCATAATCCACAGAACTGGCGGTGTACATCACTCAGATTACACTTTCACTGCCAAAAACCGGAAGTTGGGCCATTGAATTATTTATTTATTTGAGCGGTTAGCATTTACAAAATATTTATAAAAACCGAGAATACAGCAAAACATAAATCAAGCATGCCTAGAACTACCTCTTGTTAAATTGTCAGGTTTAACCATCTCATCTCGTGTAGAATATTGACCTGCCCAGCATGCATGGAATATGATTGGTTTTCATTCTATCGAGCAGCAAATCTTGGGCTTGCAAGTTGAGTTATAGTGTCGTTGTGTTCTGTCTTACTGCTCCACCCCAAGCCTATCCGCACGGTGATGAGCATGAATGCAATACCAGATATAGTACCCCATGTGCCCTGAACAAAGTCGTGAAGGTTGGACTCGGACTCGTATGCAGCGAAGTAAAATATTGTCCACGTGCTGCATGATCAAAAGATACATGTTAGGACGATGAAGCAAATACCGACGGGTCTGAAAAGCATACGTGCATAACGCCGCACTCTCGACAAAGATAGCCATGACTGTCTGTATGTGGAAATGTAAGAAAGTATTCGCGACAGAGCTCTCAGACGTACCCTAAGATGTCTACTTCCTAGAGGTACCGATGCTTTGTGAACAGTCCAAATGTGCCATGAGATCATTACTGGATAAATAAATAAAATCAGCTAAATTGCAGAAGCATTTTAGCAGCCACGACTGATAGTAACCTGTACAGTACACGTTCGTACTATAAAGAGTGAGAACAAGATGCACGCAGGATAAGTAACAGCACAAACCACAGAGTAAAAACGCAGTCACTCAGAATCCACCGAGCTGCAATGAGGAGGTACGTGGACTCTGCGGCACTGGTGTACTGAGTGAACTGAAAAGTTATGCCTACAGCACATACTGGATGCATATAAGAAGTTTCTAATAGATTGACGGCGATATGATACGTACCTGTGAGACCAATGAGGCTACAGAGCGGAAAAATTACCACTGATTTGTTATAACTCCAAATAACCCATAGGCGATATACCTGCGCCAGAAAGATAAGCAAGCCAGAGTTATGTTACAGATTCATGAACACTGACAAACATGGCATCCGAGAGTACCAGAGATGCCATGAAGAAGCCAATTTGGATAATTTCTGTTAATTCTGTCTCGCTGTTGAAGAAGGTGGACGGAGAAGAACCACTACGAAAGTAGATGAACGCTTGAAAAAAGCGAACAAAGGTCAGTGCCCAATGCTATTACAAGTGTTCTGTGTGAGATGCCTTAATTAATTGGAGAGTGCACTGGCTACTGACTGTAGTGACAACAATGAACAGCAGGACTGTTCCTAAGAACATAGGCCTTCGAAAGACAATGGAGGGCTGGGGCCCGATTATGCCAGCATTCCTTTGGTGGTGACTGGAAAGAGCGTAGAAAGAAATCATAGAAAGAATGAAAAACAGGCCGTATAAAAAGCTTTGCACATAGATTTCGGTTATGTTAGCTGCTAGAATGGATACGCCCACCATTGAGAATACTATGAATAGAAAAGTAAGGACTCGGAGGTCAATGAGTTCTACTGCTACACTTACCTTGATTGATAAAGCCGCGGATTGGGGAATCCGAAGAACCAACTCCCAGAACTTACTACGTTAACTATAACGTACTTATACTAATCTTATAGAGATGGGCCTCATGGAGATAACGGTCACACACATACATCATGATGGAGTGCAGATGGCTATGAGTTTTGCGACATCCATATATTCTCAAAATGTTGTTCCATAGCCCACCGCATTGATATTGAACTTTTGATGCTGATCTGGATCATGATGGTGATGCACGACGGTTGAGTAACACTGAGTAGCAGTGTAGTACAATGCAAACTTGCGTAGATTTCCGTCGCATTTCAACCAGATCATCAACATGTGGGGGAATGAAGCAATTCCTGGACCCGTAGGCAATGCACTTTCGAGTTAAATAACGCCTTGTATTTTCCCCATGAAATCCTAGGCTCTTACCCTGCCCACTCGGCCGCTAGCCCACGGTTAATATATTGCCAACTCGCGAGTGTAATATTCTGCTAATATATGACACGCGAGCTAGCCGAGCTGGGTGGGTACGAGCCTAGTGAAATCCTGAATGGTATGGTACCACCAGAAGATTGCATGTGCCCGAGGCCGCTTTTAGCATTTTTGAATTTTGCCATAAAAATCAGTAATCCAAAATGTTTCCAAAATGGAGATTATAATTGTATAAATGATAATAAAATTGTTGCTAAAAAAAGCCAATTCTGAGAGTTTAAGTGTGAGTAAAAGCATGCACTTTCCCATCCAAAAAGGCTGGGATGAGATGGCTGCTCCGGATTACATCCTTTGGATCCAGGAATACAAATGCATCTTCTTTGGCCATCAGAGGAAAATAAACTTGGTCCAGTTGATTGATCAGCCAACCACTATCCTCTCCTTCCTTCAGCTTCAGCCATCTCACCCACAAAACTTCCATTCTCCGAGTGTTGTAGTCAAGCATACCAGGGCCCACATATACCATATTTAAGTGAAAAATACCAAGCACCTGAGCATAACAAAAAGGGTGCAATGTAGAAGTATCGCCATCAGTAGTAGTAGAATCTGTATTAACCAGTATCATGATGTTTCAATGTGGGGTAGTCGGATTCACTACATCTTGTGCCTGCTGAACATTGTATGTAGTATAGTTTAACCACATAAGTTTATGTGTATATAAACAATCACCTTTAAATAAAACATTATCCCAGCCACTCCTAAATGCAGCCACACCTCTGTTGCTTTCTAAATTAGCTTGAGAAATAAGTTAACTTGTCTTGTGTCATTCTTTGCACTGATTTCTTCTTCAAGTCTTGCTTTAATCCGAGGAAGTAAATGTTGCTTTAGCTTTGGAACTAACCCCTAGAGACAGTAAGTGATGAATAGCTGTGTCTAATCCACTCTTACTATCACGGCTGGATCCCCTCTATAGGTATTGAAGAATATTGAGATGTCAATGAGGTTGTTTTAGGATTTACCAATGGTATGGTGCATATCCGGTGAGTTAGCATCATCTCAATTATTTAGTATACCCTGCTTATGCACTTGTGAATGTGCCAAATTTGGTATTCACATTGTTTGATGCATGTGATCTGTTGGACATATAATTTACAACTTGTGCGTGCATATTGGGCTTTGGGTGTGCAATGTTCAAGTTCCCCCTAGTAGCAAACTGTCAGGATTGCAAACAGAGAACATAGGTTACTTACAAGTTCCATAGTATACAAGTCTGTAGTTCCAAACTTTTGGATGGTGGAAACATAATCACCCATTGTATGAACCTTGTAAGTATTGAGGGAAATTTTTTTTACTCCACATCCATTGTCGTTTGGCTGGAGTACGTTGTTTGGATACAGTTTGAAATTTTCAGGTGGGCTTGAAGGAGGAAGGGGCTGGCTCGAGGAAGGAAGAGGTTTAAGTTGGCACAAAGAAGGAAGGGATTGGCTGGAGGAAATTGTCTGATCTGCTTGCGATAAATGTGCTCCACTCTGCTTTATCTGTGTAAAATATGAGTACATAACAGAGAAGTAAGTGTCTGACAGCCTACCTCCAAGGTAGTGCAACCATGATACACAGCACACCAAAATTGGGTGTCTGTTTCCCACTTCAGCTCACGGGTTCTGAAAGCGCCACAAGTTTTCTTTTTGAACTGGTGTAGCACCAAACCTAGCAAGAAAGTGACATTATTTAAGATCTATAAAGTATAGTCAGTATGCATGCGCAGTTTTGCTAAAGTGTGCCAGTAGGCTAGTATAAATAAAAGCTGTTAGATATGCTCATTGTGATCATGGGGTCTAGGAAACAGGCCAGCAGATAGCACACTTGTGGCTTTTGTTTAGACTAAAAATAAATAGAGCACTGCGAATCTACATGCCTGAAAGAGGTCATCAAAATTATGCACAGCCATTTCTCTCATTTCTGAGCGATTGCTTGGGAAGCACCTGATTGTATGTGTACCAAAAGTAGGCATTTCTCTATGCCTTTTCAATCACTGAATCAACAAAACTGAGAGGTGGAAGTCAGATGAGAACATACCTGTGATCTATTTCATCCAAAAGTTTCTTGTTGCAAGATGAGACAATCCTAAGAAGGTGAGTGATCAGCGCTTTCCATACACCTAACTCAATCTCGAAAAAAGCATTTTTTTTTCAAGCTTTTTTCCAGATATTTCTCATGGATATATTTGGCTATGCACCCAGTGATTGGAGAATGTATTCTGTGAATAAGGTAGTTAGATATGTGCATGAAAAGTGTGGGAGGAGTTGACATACTGCTGTAGGAACCAGGGACTGTTCCTTAAGGATGTTCTCCACAGCAGTGCTGTTGACTGTGTACTGCTTATCATAAACAAGATTCTGAGCACAGGAAATATTGTGTTGATGCTTCACATCATCCGCAAGCCAGTGATATCCGTTGCTTAGAATCCCGCGGCATACCAACATTATGTGCACGCAAAACTGGGATCAAACAACGTGAGCAAGGGCAACTGCCCATGTTTTGGATGCTGAGCATGTGCGTAGAAATACTTTTCCAGGCTTACTAAATGTGTGCCTTGAAGTTTCCAATTGTTTGATCTTCATCTGTACAACACCAGACTTGAAAGAACTGGAGAGACCATCAGGAGAGTGCCAATGATTTCAACAATATAGTCCCTCACATTCTTGGCCCCTGAGGTAGTATGAAGAAAGGCCAGTGACATGTCTTGTTGACAATATTGCCAGCCATGACAATTGCAGTCTCAAAGCTATGGGTTCTTGCAAGACCATCCACCTACTCTTCTAAGTGAGAATGTGTTGAATGGTGTGGTAAGCCATTTGTATCAATTTTGTTTTGGCCTTGGCAAACTCTACTGCACGCTGTGTAATGGTTTTTGATGTATCCATGTATGCAGCGGCCTGTTCATGCGCCTCCAGAATGCCTTGCCACATATCAGGGAAGGTAGACTTGAAACGTGCATAGCACTGCTTGCAAATAGTTGGTGCTAACAACACTGTGAGCCTCGTCAGCAACAAGGAAGTGAAGGTGGCAAAGGTGGAGTAGGAATGGCAGTGGTAGAAGTCTTTTTCAAGCCAGGGAAGTAGCGCTCATCAAAATCAGCTCTCTCAGAGATAATGGTGCGTTTGGTGGTAGGATTGTAGAATTTCCAACCCTTGTACCCAGCAGGGTAACCAATGAACACACATTTCTCCATGTGAGAGCCAAAGACATCTCTCTTATCCTTTTGCACATGCACATAAGCAGTGTACCCCCAAACACAAAGGTGTGATATGTCTGGTTTATGTCCATGCCACAATTGATAAGGAGTAGCATTGACCACTGCATCAGTGGGACACCTATTCCAGACATGCACCAAGGCACCTAGGCATTCACCCCAGAAGATATTAGGCAATCCAGACTCTGAAAGCATGGTAGTGATTCTTTCAGAGAGAAGCCTGTTTGCTCTTTCTGCAACTCTATTCTGCTGAGGCCTATTCTGGGTGGTATGCTGTCTGACAATGCCATGATCATCTGTGAATTGCTCAAACTCCTTGGAGATGTACTCTCCCCCTTTGTCATCGTGCAGAGCCTTGATTTTTTGCTCTAATTGAGTCTCAGCATAAGCCTTGAAACTCTTGAAAGCATTAAAGACATCTGACTTGGCCTTCAAAGGGACAACAACACAAAATTGAGTGTAATCATCGATGAAAATGACCCAATATCAATACCCAGAGAATGAAAGGGAGGAGACTTGGTGTACATCAGAGTGGATGAGGTCTAGAGGGTGAGCAGAGTGATGAGAAGATGAAGGGAATGGGTTGGCAGACATTTTTCCAGACAGACATGGTTCACAGATAGGATCAGGAGTAGATTTAGACTCAAGTGTCATTCCAGTAACAAGGTTTCCTTGTGTCAATTTCTTGACATCAGCATAGTGGTGGTGAGCCAATCTTCGATGCCAAAGGTTTAAGTTAAGTGGAATTGTTGCAGAAAAGTGTCCCAATTCAACACAAGAAACAGTGGATCCATCAAGGAATGCAGCATTATTGTTGTTGATGGTTGCAGTGAATAAGAGTGTTGCCACGTATGAAGGACATAGATTGAGATGAAATGATGACTTTAAAACCACTTTGACGAGTTAAGTACAAGACTGAGAGGAGATTATTTTGAAGATCTGGTACATGCAGCACTCTGAAGAATTCTACAGCCCTTGATTCCTTGCCATTGATGATAGCGTTAAACACCACAGTACCAATACCAGCTAAATAAACAACAGTATAATCTGCTAGCTTTATGGGAACACAATATGGTGCATAATTGCGAATCCAGTGACGATGAGGTGTCATATGAGAAGTGGCACCTGTGTCTGCATTCCAATCAATGTCAGCATCAAGCTGGAGAGGGCAGTGTAAGTCAGAGGGATGAATAGAGTGGAGGCTTGCATTTCTAGTCGACTCTGCAACCGCAGTAGAAAAATGTTATTTTGCACCAGGTATGGCAGATTGATTACAATGATGGCAGTTAGGAGATGAGCAAGAACAATGAGTAGGAGCAGAATATGAATGAGGAGTACATTTAGTTTTATCCATGGTGTGGAAATGAGCTGGCGAAGCAGTGGAGGTGGATAATGGAGAAGGTCCAAAAAGTGCACAGAAAGGTCCAAAGGGTCCAAAAGAGTCCAAAAAAGCGGTCCAAAAGCGGTCCAGGAGGGTGCTAAGGCTTCCTAGTGATGCTACAGGGTTATGCCTGTGTTCCCCTTTCAATACTACACTGATATTAACAGAGAAATCACCTCGAGACAGTGTTGGTTAAAAGGGCTTGTATATGAGTCAACAAAGTGACTTAAGCTCCCCAAACAACGCAGACTGAGAGAGGCTCTGGGCAACAGCAAACTGAGGCAATGCAGGCAAGCTTCACAGTCTATAGGCTTGTTCTATCTGATAATGGACAGAGCAGAGAAGATTGGAGCTTTATGCAAGCACCAGATATGCCAAAAAGCGAAAATATAGGCCAAAAAAATGAAATTGTCACAGGGACAGATGGAGTGGATGGATTGCCCCCAAAATATAGGTGTGGAGAGCGATTATATGGTGCAATAGATAGGCCAAGTATGGCCAGAAACGAAGCACAGGGAGTGGAGGCATATAATAAGGGTGGAAGTGGTGATCAGAAAATGATAAGGGCTCACAGGGAGATCAAACTCAAAGTCCACCACTCTGAGGAGTCTCCTAGGGTTTTCAAGGTCGTAGAAGACAATAGTAGGAGTTTGGGGACGATCAGATAAGGATTGGGTGAGATATGGCACTGATAAGGCCAAAAAAGCGTCCAAAATGAGGTTCCAAGCAACAAAGGCTTATAGGGAGTGATCCAGATGGAATCAAAGCAAACAGAGATGATAGAGAGGGTTATCAGAGACCCAGAAGACAATGTGCAAGATGGATAAGCAGTAGGGTGCTTGGATGATGAGGTATGAAGTCAGGAAGATGGCTAGAGCACAGGGCTCATAACCTGTTCAATTGAGAACTTCTGGGAAGTGTCTAGTCACTTGCTGAGAGCTAACAGGGACAGAACTAGAGTCCAGTATGAGTAACTATATTATCAGAGAGTACAGAATGTGTACAGTACCTAGAGTCCAGTATGAGTAACTAAAGAATAGGAATACTGGACTCTGCAATGCTAGTCCGAAATTTTGTAAACAAAGGTAAACAAATCAGCCACAAAGGCGAAATTATAGAATGCTCAGTGAATACTGAACAATACAGCAAAAAGAATAAAGAGGAAAGTGATTTAGAAAGAAGGGAAAATAGATAGCACAACTAGGTGCAGAATCACCAAAACTAACACAAATCCCATCCCACATATTCGGGTCCTCTAGCCAACGTGGTATCTCTCCAGGTAATAGTGTTATCCAAACATCTTCTATGGGGCTTTGTGTCATTTCATAAGTCATTCAGTTTTGTAGGGAGCGGTGTTGGAAGTGGAATGGCCCAGGATGGATTATAGAGCTCATGTAATCACTCACAATATGTATTAAACTTGTGTAAGGCTGCCATGAGAGCCAGTTGTCTCTTCGCTATAGCCTGTCCAGTTTGTTGGTAGAGTTTGGTACCTAAAAACCTAGGTGAGCACGGGATAAACAGAACAAAATGCTGGAATGTTACCAAGTGCTATTTGTGTGCCTCCAACTGCACAATCAAGCTTGTCCCATTCAAAGAAATTTCTAATTGCCCGCTTTTGTATGTTGATCTTGAGGTCTCATGCCATCAGTAATGTGCACACAAATTCTAAGTCAATTCCTTTGAGCTCCAGGAACTTGTTGTGAACTTTGCGGGAGGCATACAATATGTCCACTTTGTTCATTAACCATTTGTGACCCCGTTCAAGGCTCTCCAGAGCCTCAAGAGTGTCGGCAGAGCTTGTGCACTTCTCAATTACCACTCTGGTGGATTGTAGAGCCTTATCTGACATGTCTAATTTGGCCTGTAGGGCAAGAACAATGCCCAGTTTTTTTTTCAGTCGGCCAGGAGCATCTGAATTGATCCTAGGTAGTGTATATTTGTAGAATGATATGACTACGCACAAGATTGTACTGACAACTATGATTGGACCATTGAGCCCGCAGCTCTGATACAGGAATACCACACTCATCCAGGATAGCCTGTGCTGCTGACCCTTGTTCTGCTATCCCTTGTTTAAGATGGCGCTTGATCCAGTCCCCCAACTCACTTTGCATTTCCTGTCCAATGGCTGCAGCTTGACAGTCAATTAACCATAAGTGTTGCTGTTGCTGAGTAGATATGAGTTCATGTACTTATAGGGTAATGAAAGGATTGTACAGAAGAAGAACACTCAACACCAATGAGCCTTATGAACCGCGACCACAACATCTCAGTACCCTCCCCATTGGATAGTCCAAGTCCTTGACACATACAAGGGTTATAGACAAGCTGACATGCCCACTTGTGCCCATACACATGCATAGCAGTTGTTGCAAAGCAAAGGCACGCAACAACATGTTCTTGAAGTATAGTGTACTATAGATATGTCAGTACAGGTGCTTGTGAGAATAGCCTCCTTACCTGAGCTAACAACCAGTTCAACACACAACCAACATGATACAATGCTGCAACAGTTGCTTGGGGGGGTATCAACGAGAAAAGAAGCTCCAAAAGTGCTACAGCATATTTTTGCTGCTCTCCAAAAGTGTTGATGTTGGCAAAATACAGTGGGATGTCATGACAGCAGATGAGCGCCATGACACTGGTGGCATCAAAACTATCCACCACGGCCTTCTGTTTCTTGCCATCCGCCGCTTCATAGGCATTTTCACAGTGGTCAATGGCTTCACTAGGTACTGCTAATATGTAGGGTTTAGGGGGCCTTTTCCGCTGCTTGTCGATTTTATGGCCTACAGCATCAACTTGGGCCTTGGAAGTATGCCAGATCTTAGAATTGAGGACACTCCCCCGCTGAGCACCGGTGACAATGGTGAAAGTTGCTGTCTGTTGCAACATGAATATTGCCTCCATTTTCTAGTGGCACACCAAATAGAATCTCACGAAAGCACGCAGGACAGCATTGGATTATAGCTGCCATACGACGACCAGGTGATAATAGGGATGAGTGCTGCAGTAACAAGTGCTGGCGAGGATGGATTCTTTGGCGCAGGAGGCTCTTGCAGCAGTGTTGAAGTTGATGAGAGAGGCTTTGTTGGAGGCTCGTTGTAACGACCAAGAGTTAGTTACTCTGGTGCACAACTCGGACAAGCTATAAAGGTAGTGAGGGGAGTGGTTACCCTTAGGATAGGACCAAGTTAGTTGTGGGTAAACAACAGGATGACTCGCTAAGGAGCCTCCTGGATCTATTGGGGTATATATACTAATACAGAGTGTTTGTACTTATGTACTGTACAGTTGATAAAAGCAGTGGCTGATGATGTCAGAGGGCGCAGCCTGTGTGACCAGCTCCACTGCGTGAGATACTTGTAGCTAAAATAAGAACAAAGGCAGTGCAGTGCGAGAAAGGTGGAGTTTGAACAAAAGGGAAAGTACCGCATGGCACAGTGTGTGAAACTATAGAAGAAAGTTAAATAGGAGAATGAAAATTAAAGGTCCAAAAATTGTGTTATCGTAACACTACCCCCCCTCTAAGGTTTGACTTCCAGGCGAGACCAGGTACCGGAGGTGGTAGTTAAATTTTCGGGCATAAGTTGTAAAAGGGAATTAAAAAGTGTTGAATCCATGCCTCTAAGCTTTGTAGGAGCTGAGGGATTCTTAGAATAAAATTTGCAAACAGTGTCACAGGAATTGTCCAGATGGGCTTCTGGTTCCCACGTTCTGTCTTCGTCTCCATAGCCCGTCCATAGGACTAGGAACTCTAATTTTCCACGCTTCAAGTGTGCATCCACCACTTGTTCGACTTCAAACTCTTCTTCACCTTCCTGGGTGACTACAACCAGTCTGGGCCGGTCTACACGCTGTCCCAGCAGCGGCCCTTTGTAGGGTTTTACACGGCTAATATTTAATAAATCTAAGTGAAAACTCAGCCGCTGCCCAAGAGGCTATAGAAACAACTGAGGTGTTCCTATACTAAACCCCCTACAACTTATAGTCAGAGGTGCTACTTGCTACAGTATAATGACTCAATTGTACTCCTAGGAGAACAATGGCTGCTTTAGCAGAGACCGGGTTTATCTGGTTTTGTCACTCCCACTTGAGTGCAACCATAGTCCCATAGCTTTAGAGAATTTCCAGTGTTTTTCGTGAGTGAGGGGTGTAGTGAGAATGTCGGCAACCATATCTCCTGTAGGAACATATCTGATTACTGCCTCTCCCTTTGATACTAAGTCATCTCGGATAAAATGATATTTCTGTTGAATATGTTTTGTGCGAGCACAGAACTGCAGATCTCGTGTAAGAATAATAGTTGCCTGATTGTCACAGTGTAATGTTGTAGGTCCATTTTGAGCATGTCCAATTTCTTCAAAAAATGTCCGAAGCCATGCAAGGTGTTGTCCAGCATTGCTCAATCCAATGTACTCTGACTCCGTGGAGGATAAAGCGACCATGCTTT